AGTATAAAACTTGGCCGCATTCATCATAGCTCTACACCGCTATCTATTGGCGGTGTGCACAAAGAATTGAGGTTGTTGGTGAAGAGATTCACGAGTTAAGATTTTGATTCTTGGCCTTATGACGGTTTGATTTGATTGTTGCAGGATTTAAGTCTTAGAGACTTTATGACTTGGATGAGTGGATTTGATCGAGTACTTGGGGGTTTAGGCCTTAAGCATGACAGATAATGGCATTGTTGTTTGAGTATGAGATTGGCTAAAATGGATCGGTCGGACATTTATGAACCATGCCCTAACTTGTTACAAGATGCCAGGATACCGTCAACTTAAGGTAATGATTGTTTGTGTCATTAGAGACACTTAGCACTTTGAGAGGTTTCATGGGTAGCCTAGGCAGGGATATGTCATAGGCTTGTACTAAACACTGCCACCTTACATATGAGGATGCTATAGGCGGGTGCTAGGTACCGACAATGCTACCATGCTAACGAGTATGCATGGGCTAGTCTTAGACATTGACAAGGCTACCGTTCTTATGAGTATGTATTGACAAGCACTAGTCATTAGTCAAACTAGCATATCAAAGAGAGTATGTATTATTTAATGATTGATGTGATTGAGGTTTTAGAATATTCTTTTTTAATGGTGTTGGATTGATTGATAGTAGTAATATTATTAGTGATAATGCTGGTAGTATGAGTTTCTCAAGGTTGTCGAGAAGCTTGATTATGAGTAATTGGTTTGAATGTTGGATTACATAGTAAAAGTGATGGAGTCAATGTGGTGACGTTCTTGGATTTGACCAATAGGTTGACTTGGGTTACCGGTTTAGGTGTTGGTTTGCCGATAATGGCTAACTAGAGTTTAAGGTTGATCTTTACATGGTGTGGTTATGTGTTGATGGTTGTTCATTTCTTATAAGCCTTTTTCAAGGTTGTTAGGCTAAGATTTTCGAAAGAGATATCTTTTTGTGATGTGGCAATAAGGAAATAGGTAATGGAATAGTGATTTGATCGGGAGAATGGGAGAGTGACGTAAGGAAGAAGGCCAACATGTTTTTCTCTTTAAAGAGGATAGATTTTGAAGACAAAATCCTTTTAAGGAAGGTAGATTGTGACGTACCGGATTTTTTCTTTATTTTTGAGCATTTTTCTTTTATGTGTATTTGTGCATGGGGATGCATGCCATGGTGTTCTGGGAGTTGTTTGGGACGTTTCTAAGGGTTCTTTCGGGTTTAGAACCCATAGAAACACATTTGGGTTCATTTCAGTCAATTTCGATTTTCATGCTAAGGAGGTGCCGGTTGGGCCCCGTGTAATACCCCTATATTTTAAAGGCTTATTTGATTCAATTTAATTGCATTATTTGTCTTTTTTACGTTATTTGATTTAATTGGCTAATTTAAATTGTTTGATTATTAATACCCCAATATTTTAAAGGCTTATTTCATTTAATTTAATTGCATTATTTGTCTTGTTTACATTATTTGATTTAATTGGTTAATTTAAATTGTTTGATTATTTGTTTAATTTAATTTTTTATTTAAGTTATGAGTATGTGTTTAATTGCTTGAGGTGTAATTATTTTGGTTATATAATTATTTATTTTATTTTAATATAGTATGGATTGGACTTATAGTTAGTAGAACCCAAAGTAATGGGTTTAGGCTAGCTGAAGTAGGCCTAAGTGTGTTAAGAATGATTTGTGACATGGGGAATGCGTTAGTTATATATATATATATATATATATATATATATATATATATAGAGAGAGAGAGAGAGAGAGAGAGATTCTTATGATATATATAATTTAATTATTATTTAATTTAAATTAAATTATCATATATGTCATAATATATCTATATGTTTGTATATTTGTGTGTGTATATATATATTAGGAGTATTATTATTATTATTATTATTATTATGTTAGTTGGATTTAGGTTAGGATTTGTGGGTAACTTATATATATGTGTAATAGTTAGAGAATAGTGTTTTTGGTTTTTACGTGAGTTTTGAGAGAAGAAAAAAAGAGGGCTTGGCATAAGGAATGAGAGAAGGAAGAAGGTGACCGGAATCATTATCGGAGTTAAGGAAGACGACCGGAGAAGTTGTAATTGATTTTCGTTCCGAAAATCAAAGAGGCAAGTTCTATGTTCTACTCCTCCCCTTAATTCTTATAAAATATACACCTTATGCTTGACTTTAGGGATTAATTATAATTAAATGATTAAATTGTTTTATACAATTATTAAGAAATAATCTTCAGACGATGTAAGGCAGAATTCTGTTCGTCTGGACAAAATTCTAAACAACAGTTTGATACGTCCATTTTTTACCGGATAATAGTATTTTTTTTGGGTGAAAATGATTGATTGAGAAAAATCCATTAACTTAAGCTTGTGGGCCATACCAGTTCTTGGCCAAAAACCATCGTTTAGGGTTCTGAGATCGTGTTTATTAATTTGCTAAAAAGTGTCAGAATATTTTTGTGATTTTTGTTGGAGGCTGAAAGGAAATCCAATTGTCCTCATATTTTAAATTTAGTTATTTTTATTGATTATGTTATTTATTATTTTTTTCTAGAATTTTTAGAGGAACTTTATTTGTAGGCTTATTTTCGGAATTGCGTTCATCGCACTAAAACTCAATAAATTTCAAATAATGAGTTAAATACAGAGTATATGTTTGATAAATAATATTAATCATATTAAAAATATATTAGGTATTGTATTAGAAGATAATACTCGTAATTGGAGTATATAATGTAGTATGGTAAATACTATTAAGCGTAATTATTCATGTTCGTTAATAAATGATACTTATCATTTTGTTGTTATTATTGGATATTTTGATAAATGATATTGATCATATTATAAATGATGTTAATCCTAATGTGATTTATTATGATTTATGTTATTAAATTTATTATAAAAGATGTTTATCTGAATGTGATTTAATGAGATTTATGATATTAATCATATTACTTATGATGATTAATTATAATAAGATTGTAGTTTTGTTTATGATACTAATCATATTGGACTACTTTGGGATATTATAATAAATGATGTTAATTATGTATTTCTATTATTAAATAATGATTATCATATTAATGATTTGTACAATGCACAAGGATGAACTTATTTAACTTATAAATTGTAATTGGTAATAATCATTTATATATAAGTTGCGTGCATTGTGGAGAACATGTAGGTTGGCTAATAAGCATAAACTCGCTTTTATTATCTACCTTGGTTGTGTTGGATTTGATGCCATTATTGGATATGGCTATGATGAGACTAATGTGTGTATGTGATGTAATCATTGAGATGGCTAATAAGTTAGGCTTCTTGATATTGTTGCCATTGTCAGGATATGGTTTTGTTGTATTGATGAGTATAGGTGGACTAGCTAATAAGTTAAATCCATTCTATTTAATGTCATTGTCAGGGTATGGCTGTGTGATATGTGTATGTGTGAGTGAGCTGGCTAATAAATTTAGACTCACTCTATGTTGTGCCATTGTCAAGATATGGCTATGACATTTTATTGTTCCATTGTCAAGATATGGCTACAATATCTTATATATATGTTGATGTGTCATTATCAAGATATGGTTATGGTAGTTTATATTTTGGTGTGTCATTGTCAGGATATAGCTAGATATATATCTATGTGTGCCCTAATACAAGCTTGAAGTCTCGGGATCAGTGGTTAGTACTGAGGCATATATTGCCGGTTGAGATAGGTAGCTAGATATAGGAGATATGTGTGCCGTGGTAGAAGGAGGACTCATGACCAATTTATGTGCGATTTTTCATGAGATACCCACTACACGATTGAGACTACCCTATAGTCCAATGAAAGTCTTTAGTGTGTGTGTGTGTGTGTGTATGTGTGTGTGTGTGTGTGTATCAGTTATGTAGTTATTGCATGAGTTTATTTAGGGATGTATTGTTTATCAGTTCTCTGATTAGGTTGTAGTAGAAAGAACTTGTTTAATGGTCTGACCCACTATTTATTTTTTAGGTCCACGTCAGTTCAGACTTAAAGCGCGTACGTGCTGATCAGAGAGCTTTCAAATTCACTCTTCCGAATTTGTGATGTAGGACATTATCTTAGACTTCATTTATTGTTTAGACTTATTATTATTTCACTTTTGGATTTTAATTAAGGGTCCATGTTGTACGGATTCCAGAGTTGTACTTTGGAGGATTTTTATTTATGGTTGCTTATGGAGGATAATTATTATGGGATTATTTCTTGGAGATTAATATCAGAGAAGTTATTAATTATTATTTATTTATTTTTCCTTTTAGTGCTTATATTTATTTCGTTTTGTATTTTGTGCTTGTTTTAAAATATTAATTGTTTGATATCCTCCGGTGTAAATAAGTAGAATTCTAGGGTTTCTTCAATCTTCATCAAATCAGTGATCTAGATTTATTTCCCCATAGTTTGGTTGGCAAGAAAGGTAGAAAAGAAAACAAAAAGAAAATAGGCCGGCCTTGCTTGGAATGAGTCTATTTTCAGAGTAACCAAAATACAGAAAACTTTATTTTTAACTGCTTGGATAAGTTTTTAAAGAATAGTTTTAGAAAACTGAGTTACAAGAGTTTGTAAATATGCCCAATCCATGCATGATATACACGTCTTAATGCTAATATTGCATTAGTAGACTTGGGAGAAAGGGAAAAAAAAAAACAAAAAAAGCAAAAAAAAAAAGAAGTTAATTGCATTAGTAGTTAACATCATAAAAATAAAAAAATAAGTGATGTGTAATATTTTTATTTTTTAGTTTAGAAAATTATTTTTAATAAATACAACCAAACAGTTTAATGAGTTTTTGTCTATGTTTATAGTTTTCCCAACCAAGCAGATTTTCAAACTTAAAAAATTGAAAAGTGTTTTCTGTTTTGATTCTATGAAAATTGTTCTTGAAAACCATTTTGAGAGTTGCAATTATTAGTTAAACCATGGCCTTTCAAAGGTTGGGCCATGGATCTAATCGGTAAGATTAATCCTCCTTCATCAAAAGGTCATCATTGGATTATTTTAGCTACCGATTATTTTACTAAGTGGGTTGAAGTCAAGGAATATGTTTTAGTAACTCATAACACGGTGATACAGTTTCTAGAGCGACATATCTTTCACCGATTTGGCTTACCAAAAACAATTGTTGCCGATAATGGATCTGTGTTTCGAGCAAATGAAGTATTACAACTCGGCATTGATATGCAAGTAAAAATGTTAACTTCCACACCATATTATGCTCAAGGGAATGGCCAAGCAGAGGCTTCAAATAAAGTTGTTATTGAAATTATTAAGAAAATAATAAAAGACAAGCTGAGGCGTTGGCATGAAACCCTTTCAGAAGCTTTGTGGGCTTATAGAAATTCGAAGCGGACAAGTACTGGGACAACTCCTTATCGGCTTACATTTGGTCATGATGCCGTGCTGCCAATGGAGTTAAATGTGAAATCGGCAAGAGTAGCTTTACAACACAATCTGATACCTGCCGATTACAATGAAGCTATACTTGCCGAGTTGGAAGACTTGGATGAAGTTCAGAAATTTGCTTTAGACCACCTTATGGTCTATAAAGCAAAGGTAATGAAGGCTTATAATAAAAGGGTGAAGTTCAAGTCATTTACAGAGGGTGACATGGTTTGGCAAACAATTCCTCCACCTGGAAAGATAGATAGAACTTATGGCAAATGGTCACCTACTTGGAAGGGACCATATATAGTCCATCAAGTATTACATGGAGGTACTTATAAATTGAAAGATTTGGATGGTGAGGTGCATGAAAGGCCAATAAATGGAAGATATCTGAAAAAATATCAACCCACTATTTTTGAACTTATGGAGGACAAGAAAGCCTCTAATAAGTCAAATATAGAGGGTCAGTGTTTAGTTTAAGCCATCTATTTTAGTTGTTTGCAAATGTGTTGAGCGGCTCTATAGTGCATACATAATTTTGTTACAATGGGTGTAGTTAAATTTTGGAAGCCGAAGGGTTAAAACGGCTATCAAAATTGGGGGGCATTGTTGACACCTATTTTGGTAATTACATAGGCATTAACGTGGCAATAAGCGTTGGTTTGAAATGGAACATTCTCGGCAAAATTACTTGGCAGTGACGTGGCTATAATTTGGGCTGAAATGGGTTTATATTGTTTACGTGGATTAAAATGCATGCTAAGGTTGGAGAAGCCTTTGAATTGATTAGTGGACAAGGTCAAAAGCTAGTATTTATCTTTTAGATAAGTTTAGTTATATAATTTTAATATATATCGATAGATTATGTTAGTTAAATGGTGATAATTATCTCTAGGATTAGTTTATTTTGAATTTAAATTCAGTGATGAGATAAAGTTTTATTGTAATTAGAATACTTATTAGTAGGAGTTTGTTTCTAATAATTTCTATAAATAAACAAAAAAACATGCTGAGATAAAGGTCCAGCACCTTCAGAATCATTATTATTATTTGTTTACTTTCTCAAGCTTTTCCAAGAATAGCATCCTTGTTATTTCTTCTTTCTCTCTATCTATCTATCTCAATCTTTCGATCTCTATCTCTATATCTATCTCAATCTCTCGATCTCTATCTCTCTCTTCTTAATCTTTCTTTCTATTTCTTTCTATATCTGTTTCTCCATTTTTCTATTCTCTTAACTTATTATAATTTGTTCATTGAGAAGTCCTATACAATTCTGAACTCAATGAGGAGTTTTTATTGTTCCCTTTTTTCTTCGCAATTACCTAAAAGTTAACTTTCTCAAATGGACTATAGTTGATAATTTACAATTGAACCATATATTCGGTTCTGACCCACCGATTTACATCAAATTAACATCAAATTAAGATCAGATTTTAGGATCCAATTTTAGATTCAACACCAAAAATGTTGACAAAAGATCTACAATTTGGTCCGTGGAAAAGCTTTCCAATTCCCACTTGAACCATTGACAATCCCCAACAAGTAACATGTTTGTCCGGGTCTTACTACGTCACTCGTAACGAATGATAGACAATTTTGTTGAAAATTTACAAAGTGACAAAATGGTAATAGAATCGTCAATTCTTATTTGGTCCAACAAAGTGAGAAAATGGTACTATAATCGTCGGTGTCACACGGCACGAAGGAGCCGCCAATGTAGACTACATATATATATATATATATATATATATATATATATAGTAACAGCGTTCTGTGGACCCCACGTTCATACCTACCAATTGTAAGAGACTATCAAAGCCATTAGTGTCTTAACATTATCCATCTATCTATTTTGCCTCTGCGTGTGTGTATAAATATATATAGTACTACTTATAATATAGCAAAGAGCTCTGAACTGTCACACAAATAATTTGGCGGAGAGAGAAAGATGAGCAACAAGGAAGCAGTCGCAATGACAGAGTCATATCCGATGGAAGGTGGAGATGGCACTTACAGCTACACCAAGAACTCCACCTATCAGGTACTAAATTATGTGTGTATATCAGCATCTGATTATTTTGTTGAATAGGTACTCTTGTTCTATAAATTATTAGATTTGCCAAGGCTTATGGTGGTGATGAATTTAACATTTCACTCAATTGGGTGACTTATTCACCCCAATAAACATAATTCTTTCAGTAATTCGTAACGGAAAAGAATCTTATATTTTTTGACATAGAAGTATTCAAATTCCAAAAACAGGAAAAAAAAAAAATATTCAGAAATCTGTATCCATACAGTTTGCCCCCTAAATGGAAAATGTAAAACAGATACTGATAAACCAAATAAACTGATGGCTGAAGTATAAATCTTGAATTTGGGTTTTCGTTTTTTTCTTTTCTTTTATGATTAGTGTGTGGTGGTTGTGTTGAAGCTCATTTTGTACTTGGTTGTTGAAATTACTAAATCAGTTTGTGAGTTAGTACCGTTCTTTGTTGTCTATCAGTTCATGTTTTGCTAAACCTGGCAATGGAATACTTTGGTGGTTTTTTTTTTTTTAGTTGGTACTCCCACACACATCCCTCTATTTAAGCTTGAACCTTTGACCTTTTTTTTTTTTTTTGAGAGATAAGAGCCTAGTACCGCTAGGCCACTAATCCATTAATCTGACAATAGGATACTTGAACATGCATTATCCTTTATTTTCCATCTTCTGGGGAAGATACTTGAATAGGCCATAAAAATGGCAACTGTTGCTTCAAACATGAGGTATACATACATTACAGAATCAATTCAACCATAATTTGCAAATTTCAGTAATTTGCAAATTAGTTGGTTCTCTATCATGTTAAAGGCTATATTGGTATGTTCAGCCATCAGATACACTAACCTATAGATATTGGAAAGCAACTAAATATTCACAATTTTTCATACTAATCTATTATTTCCTAGGATACGATGATATTCTATCATACATAGTCCAAGATGAGTATTTCCTTTGTTTTTGGATAATCCATATTAAAACAAACATAACAGAATGGTTTTATGAATAATTATAAAGAGAACGTGAATTTTAGATATATATGTGAGGTGGATGTCCAACAGATATGTCAAAGACATATTCAATATTATACCCAGGTTTTCATCCTCATTTTAAAATAGTTCTATTATGGATGCCCTTCTCCCAATTTGAATAGCATATTTCAAGAACTATAGCAGAAATGAGCTCGTATATTGAAAGGGGGGGAATTTTTTTTAATGAATCATAGATTTTTCAATATGGTAATACCATCCGGTACAACAGATTCAGTCATGACATATAACTAGGTTTCGCCATCTTTGAAGTGGAATCAAGTAGTTTTTACTATTCCATGCACTACTTGGATTTGTTAATGATGATCAAAACATTCCGAATCTGATAGCAATGACAATGATGATTATAGCAACAAGAGCAGTAACATCTATTTTTGATTTTACAGAGAGAATTTTCAAATTATGCTCAAGAAATGATCGATGAAGCAATTGCAAAGAAGCTCGACATAAAAAGCCTCATTTCTAATTCAAACACATTGCGCATAGCAGATTTGGGATGTTCTGTTGGGCCAAATACCTTCATTGCCATGCAAAATGTACTTGAAGCCATGGAAAAAAAGTGTCTTCCCCAAAGCAATGCTTCTAAAGCACCCGAATTCCAAGTGTTCTTCAACGATCATGCAGCCAATGATTTCAATACACTTTTCGCATCCCTCCCTCATGATAGGCAATACTTTGCTGCTGGAGTGCCAGGTTCTTTCTATGGCCGCTTATTCCCGGAGTCCTCTCTCCATTTTGGGTATTCCTCCATGGCACTCCAATGGCTCTCTAAGTTGCCTGAAGAGTTGCTCGACAAAAACTCACAAGCATGGAACAAGGGAAGAATTTACTACCCAAGTGCGTCGGAGGAAGTAGCAAATGCTTATGCAGCTCAATTTACAAAAGACATGAAGATGTTTCTGAATGCTAGAGCTAAAGAGATTGTGGCTGGGGGGATGATGGTAGTGCTCATGCCTGGTCTTCCGGATGATATCCATTATTCTCAGCACGCGGCAGGTCGGCTGTTTGATTTCATTGGGTCTACACTGATGGATATGGTGAATGAGGTAAGTCAATGTTCAGCTTTTCAAATTGAAGTCCAAAAAAATAATATCTACCAATTGAGATCTAAAATAATTGGAAAACCTTTGCCAACTAATGGTGGGGATTATTGGCAATAAACTCAATGATTTCAAGATTTCCTTTTTTAAAACTCGTCAATGATGTTGAAATTACTGAATATTCAATCACATTAAAATCATAAAACGACAGGTTTTGTTCTATTCAGTGTTGCACTGATACAGCAGGAATATGCATTCTGCATTACATTTTGATAAATCTATGTTGCACTTGAATCATATTTCCATTGTAGTTCTGTGTAACACCTTAATGCAAACCACTATTATAGGGATTAGTCAGTGAAGATCAAGTGGATTCATTTAACATTCCTGTGTATTGTCCCTCCCCCAAGGAGATTGTACGGCTTGTAGAAGAAAACGGGTGTTTCAGCATTGAGAGAATGCAGATGATGGATTTCACGTCAAAGAGGAAAGCCCCACTTGATGCGCACAAAATTATAATGCACCTAAGAGCTGCCATGGGAGGGGTTTTCACCAAACATTTTGGAAGTGAGATTGTTGGCGAAATGTTTGACAGAGTTTCTCAAAAAACTGCAGAGTTTTCCTGCGTGCTGAACAAAGGCAACAATGAAAGAAATCAAGTATTTTTTGTTTTGAAGCATAAATGATGTGAGTTGGGATGGTATTGGCCTCATTATAAGGGTAATTTACATGTCGTTGCTATCTTATCCCCCTCTTTTTTCTTTTTTATTGTACTTGGATAAATAATATAATGTTATTCAGGAAAAAAAAATAAAAAATAAAATAAATAAATAAAAGGAATAGTCAATAAGAAAATGGTTTAAACTCAAGCGTGGGACTTATTTATTGTCAACAATCAATAAGTGCTGAAATCGAGAAATTGGCAGATTTTGAATTTGATTCTGACAAGAAGAAAACTATTTCCCCTATTCCATAATTTCCCAAAGGTTCTGCAACAACCCTTTTGCTTGGACAATGTTATGTTATGCTGACTGATGAATTGAATACACTGTGATGTACTTCTGCAGTGACAAGCATCACCAAGATAAATCATATTTGCTTTCTCAGCAGTTACATCCTGCCTTTTTTATATAGATTATGGGACTTGAAGACCTAATAGATATGTAAAATAAGCCAATCTAGGAAAAGGAACTGATATTGGTGTTGACACCCATTTTGGTAATTACATAGGCATTAACGTGGCAATAAGCATTGGTTTGAAATGGAACATTCTCGGCAGAATTACAGGGTAGTGACGTGGCTATAATTTGGGCTGAAATGGGTTTATGTTGTTTACGTGGATTA